TAGGGCAGCCCCCTGAGATTCCCCTCGCACTGTGGGAGCTTTTCTGTCCTCTCAATAAATTATGCTTTCTTTAAAAAAAAAAAAAAAGAAAAAAAAGGATATTGGTAGGTAGGCTTATTTCTCCTGCCTCAATCTTCTCTCCCACTCCCCAAGGTAGGAAATACATAGAATCTTTTCTGGATAATTGGCCCGAGACAGGAACTGTAGATATATTGTCATTTGGGGAAACCCCAACAAAATAGCTAGGTCATTGACCATCCTACATTGAAGCCATTAACCTGACAGCAGCACACACAACTTCCAAACGTAAAGATATTTAATTGATAAATAACTTACAGGAAGGAAAAACATCTAATAAAATTGCTTAGTGTCAAAAGTGGTAGTAATAATAAAAAAGCTTGGAGTATCGTGTCAAGATAAGGTTGTTGAGGAGTACGATTTTTGAGTTACCATATAACTGTTGGCCTGTAATGTTTATCATATATTAACCCTTTGCCAATAATTATGCCACTTTTGATACCATAAATTATTTGGTTGCCAGGATGTTTGGGGGCATGGCAAATAATGTTGGCTAAAGGCATTCATTCCACTACTACACTGATCTGAATGGATTACCTTGAAATTTCCTGCCAAGCAATTCCAATGGAAAGCCCTCCTTCCAAAAATATACCTGCTGGTGTTTGAAGAGTCCCATATTCAGGAAGAGGAACTTTTTCCTGAAATAATTCAGTTGGAAACTACAAGAATAATTGTCCTATTAGTAATGTTTAAGGGGCCCATGGCTCCTCTGAAGGTGCTAGATCCTATAGGAAGAGTTGATTATATATTTATTCTACTTCTGTATTGATTTCGATAAACAGCTTTCTTGGGAGCCTAGAGAACTATCTGTAAACAAGAAAGGCCAAATTGGGAAGCCTGGCTGAGATTCTCAAGTATAAAGAACCAGTCTGGCCAGGCGCGGTGGCTCATGCCTATAATTCCAGCACATTGAGAGGCTGAGGTGAGAGGATTGCCTTAATCCGTGGGTTCAAGACCAGCCTGGGCAACATGGCGAGACCTTGTCTCTACAAGAAATCAAAAAATGAGCTGGGAGTGGTAGTGCACTCCTGTAGTTCTGGCTACTTCCACCTCAGCCTTCAAAGTAGCTAGAACTACAGGCACGCACTACCATGCTCGGCTAATTTTTTTTTTGAGTTGGAGTCTCAGTCTGTCGCCCAGCCTGGACTACAGTGGCCGCTCCCGGCCACCGCAGCCTCGACCTGCTGGGCTCTGGCAATCCTTCCGCCTCAGCCTTCCAAGTAGCTGGAACTACAGGCGCGCTACCACGTCCGGCTAATTTTTGATTTATTGTAGAGATGAGGTCTCACCAAGTCGCCAAGTTGCCCAGCCTGTAGTCCCAGCTTCAGAGATGGAATGAGATGGAAGGATCTGAGGAGTCCAGGAGATTGACAATGACTGTGGTGAGCTATGATCTCACTTGTCTTCCCAGTCTAGGCTACAGTGAGACCCTAACCAAAAAAAGAAATTAGTCAAAAATTACAATATGCAATCCACTGATTAGTCTGTTTAGTAATAGAAGGAAAGGAAGGCTCATCTAGAACTTCTAAAATAAGACACAGGAAGGGATTTGGTAGGGAAGGAAAGCAGAGTCTGTAGCAGTGTATGTGAATGGAGAGGTCATGTTGAAAAGATAGCTTCATCAGATCTCCGCACAGATGTGTGCTCCGATAGCGTTCTCAAATGGTTGGACAGATACCTTGGGTGTTGCCTCCAGCTATATTAAAAGCACCTCAGAAAGACATTCTTTTGTGCCATTCTGCATGAGTTTGGAATACCTTTAGAGGAAGAGATGTTTTAACTTTTTCTTACCAGACATTAAGCTTCAGGAAGGTAGGGACCATTTCTTACTCTCTTGAATTTCTTGTATTCAATACAATGTCTAGAATCTTCTAGTAGCCAAGCAAACGTTTATTATTTAAGTCAGCTCATAGATGCAGTCATGGGAAAAGTATCTTTGAGAGTATAAACGTACCCATCTGAATTGTACCCCACATCTTTAAAATTAAAAAAAGGAAAATGATGACAAACCTGGCATTTATGGAAGGTTTATTTCTTGTAGTCTGTTGATAGACCCTTTGTAAAATGCATTTCTTTGGTTTTTTTGTTTTTTTTATTTTTTTTTGAGTTGGAGTCTCACTCTGTCACCCAGGCTGGAGTGCCGTGGCATGGTCACAGCACCACAGCCTCGACCTGCTGGGCTCCGGCGATCCTTCTGCCTCAGCCTTCCAAGTAGCTGGAACTACAGGCGCACGCTACCACGCCCAGCTAATTTTTGATGTATTGTAGAGATGAGGTCTCGTCAAGTTGCCCAGGTGGGTCTTGAACCTGCGGACTCAGGCAATCCACTCACCTCGGCCTCCCAAAGTGCTGGGATTACAAGCTGAGCCACCGAGCCCGGCCTGTAAAATGCATTTCATCTATACAGTTGAAGTATTTAGAAGAATTTCTACTTATATTAGGTAAAACTCCTTTTCCAAAGGATGCTAGGAATAACCAGTTTAACCTCAAATTGGTCTTGTCTTAACACTCGAGCAGAGTAGTAACTCCTTGTCTTGGATTACCTGCCACCCCCTTAATTCTTTGTATCTCATTTTGGGCAATTTACATTCATCCATTTTTAGATTGTGGCTGGTTTTGTTGACCAATTTTAGTCTTATGGTGCCATCTATTGACACAAATTGGTAATCATAATGCTTTAAGACTCAGGAGTTGGAGTTGGGTGAATGACCAAAGAAAATAGATTTATAGGGGACCAGATTTAACACTGGAAAAGCATTCAGATGTTACCCAACTTAGTGATGTATTCTACAAAAGAATATACTGTATCATAATATTATAAGAAAGGGATTGACAGGTGGGGGTGGGGGGATTCAACATCAATAAGGGTACCGGATCTCAAACCAGACAGTGGAGGCCAAAGGGAGACTCAAACTTTACCTGTATGATGACCACTTGTGTACCTAATCCTGAAATACCCCACATCATTAAAATAAAATTTAGCAACTCAGATTCTGTTATCTGTGGTTAACTGCCTTTTCTTTCCCCCCTTGTTTTCTGAATGATTGCAGTGTTCAATTTAGAAAATTCCACAGTCATTCTGGCATTTTTATGTGTCTTCCTCAGTCTTAGAAATAAATTGTAACCAGGCGCCATGGCTCATGCCTGTAATCCCAGCCCTTTGGGAGGCAGACACAACAGGATTGCCTCAGCTTAGGGGTTTGAGACCAACCTAAGCAACATGGCGAGCCCTCATCTCCACAATAGATCAAAAAATTAGCAGGCCGTGGTGGCACATACCTGTAGTTCCAGCTACTTGGAAGGCTGAAGAGGAAGGATCACCTGAGCCAAGCAGATTGAGACTGCGGTGGCTGTGAGCATGTCACTACACTCCAGCCTAGGCGACAGAGTGAGACTTCGACTCCAAAAAAAAACCCAAAAGAAATTGTAAAATAAACGAAATATAATAAGCTAGCAAGAAATTGTGAATTGTAAGTTTATGGTGGCATTTAGGAAAGACTACCTAAAGAATAAGGGAACTTTTCAAAAGAGGGTGTTTTAATAATGCAGAAGAATAGATTATATTACATATGTAGATACAAAAGGAAGAATTAAACTAGATATTTAATAAGACAAGCTGTTTCCACAATAAAAATTCAATTCTAGTACTGTGATGAAAATATACAGAGAATGGGAGAAAGTTATATATATATAAGTATATAAGTTATATGTATATAAGTTTGATGTATCTGCATTATTCTTAGGAGCATTGCTTTTCTTTGCATTTATTTATTTATTTGAGTTGGAGTCTCACTCTGTCACCCAGACTGGAGTGCAGTGGCCGCTCCCAGCCACCGCAGCCTTGGCCTGCTGGGCTCCGGCAATCCTTCCGCCTCAGCCTTCCAAGTAGCCGGAATTACAGCCATGCGCTACCACGCCCGGCTGATTTTTTGATTTATTGTAGAGATGAGGTCTCCCTGAGCTGCCCAGGCGGGTCTCAAACCTGCAGGCTCAGGCAGTCCACTCACCTCAGCCTCCCAAAGGCACGGGATTACAGGCTGAGCCACCAAGCCCGGCTTTTCTTTGTATTTAGTACAGTATTATTATTATTATTATTTTTTTTTTTTTGAGTTGGAGTCTCACTCTGTTGCCCAGACTAGAGTGCAGTGGCCGCTCCCGGCCACCGCAGCCTCGACCTGCTGGGCTCCGGCGATCCTTCCACCTCAGCCTTCCGAGTAGTTGGAACTACAAGCGCGCGCTACCACGCCCGGCTGATTTTTTTGATTTATTGTAGAGATGAGGTCTCACCAAGTTGCCCAGGCGGGTCTCGAACCCACGGGTTCAGGCAATTCGCTCACCTCGACCTCCCAAAGTGCTGGGATTACAGGCTGAGCCACTGAGCCCGGCCAGCTGACATGTTTTATAGTAAAAGGATTATTAAGAGTCCTTTCAAATGAGAAAAAATGAATATAAAAGTTTTAAATGGATATGCAAGGATAAAGAAGTTTGTTGTGGCTCATACCTGTAATCCCAGCACTTAGGGAGGCCTGGGCAATATAGCAAGACCCCATCTCTACCAAAAAAATAAAATTAGATGTGGTGATGCCTGCCTGTTGTCCCAGCTACTCAGGAGGCTGAGGCAGGAGGGTCACTTGAGCTCTGAAGTTCAAGGCTGCGGTGAGCTACGATCACACCACTGCACTCCAGCCTGGGCAATGGAGGGAGACTTGCCTAAAAAAAAAGTAGTTTGCTGTGAGATTAGTTGGGGCTGTTTTATGAACGTTCTAGCTGAACATGTCAGAAAATGATTATATATTGGAGGTGAATAAGGTTAAGTTACTATAAACAGCATACAGTATTGATTATAGATGGTGTTGTTCTTAGTTTTCTCATTGTTCAAATATTCGTCTGACTAATGCCCTTTTTTTCCTTTATCATTTTAGCAGCGTCACCCTTTACACCAGAAAGCTGGCGGGCACTATGGGGAAAAAGCAAAACAAGAAGAAAGTGGAGGAGGTGCTAGAAGAAGAGGAAGAAGAATATGTGGTGGAAAAAGTTCTTGACCGTCGAGTGGTGAAGGGCAAAGTGGAGTACCTCCTCAAGTGGAAGGGTTTCTCCGAGTAAGTTTCATTGACTTGGGCAGATTGAGTCACCAGCTGTCTATCAGGAGTCTAGTAATGTGCAGGTCCTCTGGCGCTGTGTGACTCAGTCCTTGGCCCTCATGTTTTATTGTCTAGTAGGAATGTGACATACATGCACAGTGTGCTTCCAACACAAGACATAGTAATTTCTGAGGAGCAATTTTATGTGTGGCTATAGACCAATCCAAGTTTGCAAAGAAAAATGATTTTCCCTTGAAGGAAGCAAGTTTCTAAGATTCCTGTTTGTACTAATCAGGTTCCCCATGCCCCAAGGAATTTCAGCTTTCCCTGAGTTCTTGGTCTTAGGCAAAATCTAGCTACTCATTATCATTAACTCTTCTTTTCCAAGGACACTTGCTCTTGTCCTCCTATACTTATCCTTAGTATGAGTATGCTTATTTGAGTGGAAGGTACAATTGCTGTGCCTTCTGGTTTCAGTGAGGATAACACGTGGGAACCTGAAGAGAACCTGGATTGCCCTGACCTCATTGCTGAGTTTCTACAGTCACAGAAAACAGCACATGAGACAGACAAATCTGAAGGAGGCAAGCGCAAAGCTGATTCTGATTCTGAAGACAAGGGAGAGGAGAGCAAACCAAAGAAGAAGAAAGAAGAGGTAAGGCTAGAAATAAGACTTTTTTACTAGCCCATAATTCATACTACTGTCAAAGAAGCTAAAGGCCAGATGATTTAAGCAGTTTTCTTTGCCTCTTCTTGAATATCAGAAGCCATCTCCTCTCAGTCCTTCTGAAATCTTAGATGGGCTAATGCTGACAAAGTGGGAGTGTATTCTCACCAAGCCTCATGGTCTACTCTCACTTTTTATCCATGGTGCAGGAACAAGAAGTGGAACGCTTACTGAGGACAGATAGGAAGGCGAGTGAATTCATTCCTGTAAAAAATAGTGTTCAGTGTTTAATCATGAAAGATGTGAGGTGGCTATTTTGACTTATTCACTCACCTTAAAGTAAGTTGTCTTTTGAGGATTAAGAAATTGTAAACATTGATTTTGTTTGGGATGTATGTCCCTTTTTCACATATGGGAAAACCTCATGCACTTTAGACGCTGATAAATAATCACTCGGGATTCTAAAAGATTTGTACTTGGAGCCAGGGTATTGGTGAAATATTGACAAGAGTTTGTCATTACATTAATAGAGACACAGGATTTACTTCATTCTGTATAGCAGTGCCATATAGATAAAAATGTTCTACTCATCTGGTTTTTACAGTCAGAAAAGCCACGGGGCTTTGCTCGGGGTTTGGAGCCAGAGCGGATTATTGGAGCCACAGACTCCAGTGGAGAGCTCATGTTCCTGATGAAATGGTGAGTCTGCCAGTGGCTCTGTGTGGTTTTTTTTTTTTTCTCCTCCCCATCTGTTCCATGCCAGAGGAAAAGAGCTGGACCTTCGAAATTCCAATCGCCCAGGTGTGAAATCTTTAAGATGGCATAGTCCTTCGATAGTGACCCTCGGCCTGACTACCAACCTGGACTCATGAGTTACAGGTAGGGGCCCTTAGGAATCTCAGATCTTTGCCGTTTTTCTAGGAGGTGGGAGAAAATCTAGAATGGAGAGGGTATGGGGAGGAATCACATTTCATTTCTGTATATAAAGGAAAAAGCATGAAATGTGTTGGACCACCCTCCCCTTTTACCACCTCCCTAATAAAGATCAGGCTGGCCCCAGTATCAGAAATTCTGTGAACTTCTCAAGGTTAGGAAAGAATTTATAGCTCAAGGTCCTTTCCTTTGTCCTTGATTGTTGGATCCCTTCCAATTTATGGAGATTCTACAATTCCAAGATGAGCCAGCAGGGGTCAGCAAGGTCCCTTAACTTTACTGAGGACAATGCAAACCTACCTTTTTCCATTCTGTGTAAATACCAGTTATTATAAGACTCCATGAAACAGCCTAAAGAAGATAGTTACCTTGAGAATCTTGAGAGCTATAATTAACCTGAAATTCTGGATAATTTCCATACTGTATCTGAAAGGAAGCCTTTCTTCCCCTTTTGTTAACTTACTGAAAATGCTTGTACCTTTTTTCTCCCCCTATAGTGGGTCTCCAATCATTGTCCTTAAAATATAAAGTTAGGAGAGAATAATTCTAAGTTATTGCCAATGGAGGCAGCATTCTAGGGGCTTTTTCCTTTTAAAAAAAATGATGTATAGTGTCTAGGGGCTTTGTCCTTTTGTCAATCTAGAATTTTCTCTGAAATTCATGTTTGTGCTCATTCTTTTTCTTTAAAATACCGCCAGAGAGGCCTAACTTTAGCACCACTGAAAGTCTATATCACAATTGGCTAACCACCTATTTTCTTCCTATACATTCTTTTTTTTTTTTTTTTGAGTCAAAGTCTCACTCTGTCACCCACACCGGAGTGCAGTAGCATGACCACAGCCTCAGCCTACTGGGCTCAGGTGATTATTCTGCCTCAGCCTTCCAAATAGCTGGAACCACAGGCGCACACTACCATGCCCGGCATTTGTTTTTTTTTTTTTTTGAGTTGGAGCCTCACTCTGTCACTCAGGCTGGAGTGCAGTGGCATGCTCATGGCCACTGCAGCCTCGACCTGCTGGGCTCAGGTGATCCTTCAACCTCAGCCGTCCAAGTAGCTGGAACTACAGGCATGCCCCACCATGCCTAATTTTTTGATTTATTATAGAGATGAGATCTCACCGAGTTGCCCAGGTCGTGAACCCGTGGGCTCAGGGAATCCTCTCACCTTGGCCTCCCAAAGTACTGGGATTATAGGCATGAGCCACCGCGCCTGGCCACTTTTTTTTTTTTTTTTAATTGTGGAGATGAGGGCTCACCAAGTTGCCCAGGCTGGTCTCAAACCCCTGGACTCAGGCAATCCTCTTGCTTCTGCCTTCCAAAGTGCTGGGATTACAGGTGTGAACACTTTACCGGCTAGATCTGGCCCTCTTTTAGCTTATTTATTCCTAACCTGTAGGAGAAAAGTTTATTTTTAAGGTGCTGCTTATGGCTGGGGGAGGGATTGATACTGGGAATTACCCAGTCTGGCTAGAATGCACTTTCTCTGCATGTGAACAGTGTGAGATACAGTATCTCCACAAGCTCTCCTTTGGTTGTCTCCTGTGTATACAGATTAAAATTGGACTTGATTACAAAACCAAGTTCATTTTAAAAGGTGATTTTCTGCATGCCTGTAATTCTGGCTACTCAGAAGGCTGAGGCGGAAGGATCGCCGGAGCCCAGCAGGTCGAGGCTGCGGTGGCTGGGAGCAGCCACTGCACTCCGGTCTGGGCGATAGAGTGAGACTCCAACTCAAATAAATAAATAAATAAATAAAAGGTGACTTTCTGGAGAGTGGAGATACTTGTCCATTTCCAAACATAGTGAATATTTCTCTGCAGTGACATGACTGAATTTACCTCAGAGGATGTTCAACTGTCAAAATAGAGCAATATGTTTCAAATTTCCCATGTTAGATTCCATTTCCTTCCCATTCTTTTTGGTCTGTGCTCAAAAACATACCTTACTTACCAGCTTACTCTTCTCTGGCTCCATGGGGCTGTGAGGCTCTGGTTTCCTGAGGTTCTGGGTGGTGCTTTGTCAGGGGTCTCCTCATATGTCTCCTGACTGCACTATGCTGCTGCTTCTATCTAGGACCCTCCCAATAACCTAAAGATAAGGGTTTACTCCTGATTCCCTTATAATGTGTCTGATTTTCAAATGGTGATAACATTTTAAAATTCAGAAAAACATAAGAGAATTATGTAATAGCCCCCTCATTTTCTACCTCCCTATGTTGAAACACTACCTCCAAGCACCCAGAAGTTGTGTGAAGATGGCATTTAGTAATGTCAAACAATACAATTGTGAGTAGACAAGAAAGTGTCCACCTTCATGGGCACTAATAGCAGATAGGTATTAAATCTTATTACAAAGCCATCATCTCTCCGTGGGTTATCAGCTGGGGTATGGCTTTTGGAAGAGCACAGTAGCCTCTCTTCTTCACTCAGAATTTTAGAGAGTCATGCTTTCTTTTGGCCTTTCCCAGAGATTCAGATGTGACAGGTTGAGTCAAGTGATCTGGCTTTTGACAAAGATATCCAGAGGGAATTTTCAACAGGAGAGGAGGTCACTGACTAAAACTGCCAATAAATGCTGCTTGGGCCACATTTTCACCCCTCCCTAGCCTATCTTTCTAGACTTACTACTTTTAAAGCCCTATCCTTTGGGTTATCCAAGTTAGATCACCAGCACCTGGTCTCAAAGTCTCTCTGCTTTATTCTGCAGGAAAAACTCTGATGAGGCTGACCTGGTCCCTGCCAAGGAAGCCAATGTCAAGTGCCCACAGGTTGTCATATCCTTCTACGAGGAAAGGCTGACGTGGCATTCCTACCCCTCAGAGGATGATGACAAAAAAGATGACAAGAATTAACTCTCCTGAGTACCAGCCCCTGTCACAACTGACTGTGGGTTTCAAGTGGGAAGGGAAGGAGTTCTACTTGTCTTGACACCATAGAGGTGGCTTGAGAAGATGTCCTTTGAAGAGCCAGTATAGTTTCTGTGCCCTGCAGCAGCCCAAGTGCTTTAAAGCCGTTCCAAGCTGTATAGTTTGCACACCCGTCCCAGTGGAGGGAAGGGGGAAAGTTTCAAGGCAACCCGTTCTGCACTTTGCTGAGAAAAGCAAAGGACCTTCTAGGAAGGACAAAACTTGCAGAATTGGGTGTGTGGGAGAGCAAAAAGATACTGTGGATCTTCAAAGTGCATCTCCACAACCCACAGCCTTCTTCCCAATAGTGTTAACTTTGCATTTTACAGCGTAGCATGTGTGTAGTTTTTGGCTATTACTGGTGTATTATTTGGGGGTGGGAGGGTTGGGATGGGGAAGAAGGGAGATGGGTAGGATCATTTTGGTTAAAATTTGGAACCTGATTGGGGAAATGGTGAAACAATGGAAAGAAAAAACAACTAATGATTTGTTTCTGTATCCAGAATATTTTACCTTTGCAAAAACTGTTATTGGCATCATAAATGAGGACTGTGAGAGACTGTTTAAAAGCTGTGAATGCCTGAAACTTTAAGCCAAGGTGTTCCCTGCCTGAACTTAATGCTGTTCTTCACAAAGGACTAAGCCAGTCATAAGTTACCAAAGCTGCCATTTTGGAGATGGAAACTGACTGAGGAGGGAAAGTCTTTTCTTGGAGCATATACACAGGCAGATCATTCTGTCGTAGAGGTGCTAATTCCTGAAATTAGGCAAGAAGACCCTTTCTTTTCCAGTTCTAAAGTTATAAATATCAGCTTGTCCATTCAAGCCACTGGCTGAGGTGTTGGGGAAGGGGAGGAGGGTGGCATAGGAGAGTGAGGAAGGACAAGGGCCCATGCTCTTGGGATGAAGAACTCTTGGAGCCTCTCTTTTTTGAACTTTGAACTCTGAAACCATTGGTGGCAGGGTTCAGTCACCGACAGCACAAGTTTCATTGAATTAATTCAAGGGTTGAATTATTTCAAAAGCCTTGGTCTCAGGAGAAGATTAAATTTTCATACTGGGGCAGTGGTTCACTTTAAAACACATACACACACACACAAAAAAAAACCATTTTTTAAGAAATCCTAAGAGTTAAACGATACCCAAAATGCTCTGTGTCTTGAGTCCTGAGATCTATCAGTTCTTGGTATTGTCTAGACCTGCATCTAGAGCTACATTGTAAAGTCGTTTAGGCATGTGTTAGGTTTCTGTGAAAACTTTGTTTAAATGTAAACTTCATATCATACTGTCAGTTTATGTCTTAATAAAACTATAGATTTATAATCCCTGATTTCTGTCTTAAGTTTTACCAGGAACCTTTGTCTTTTATTGCCTTATAAGTTCAGCCTGTTGGAAACGATTTCCACACTTGGATGGTTTTATTTCTTAAACATTGTAGGCTTGAAAATCTGGTGCCTCACCTGTCGTGAAAGGTTCTCACTGTATTAACGCAGAAGACATGTATTAGGCATTTATAATTGCTGCAGAGATTGTAAAGATTGTCAGTCACTTTTTCTGTCTTCGGTATTGTTGAAAGTTGACTTATTTATTGAACACTGTCCCCTGATGGTACTTCCAAACTATGATATATCAGGAAACATGGATCCTTGAGTTGGGTTTTTAGATCCTGTCTGTGGTATGTAATAGATTGTGTGACTTTGGCTAAAATCACCATACCCAAAATTTTCAGAAATTGACCCAGTGCATGAACACTGAGTTAAGTCATCCATTTTCTTTTTCTTTTTCTTTTGAGTCGGAGCTTCACCATTGCCCAGGTTGGAGTGCAGTGGCAGGCTCACAGCCACCGCAGCCTCGACCTGCTAGGCTCAGGCAATTCTTCCACCTCAACTTTACAAGAAGCTGGAACAACAGGCACGCACCACCACGCCCAGCTAATATCTTGACTTATTGTAAAGACGAGAGCTCTCCCAAGTTGTCCAGGCTGTTCTCAAACCCCTGGACTTGAGCAATCCTTTCCACTCAGTCTCCCAAAGTTCTGGGTGTGAGCCACTGTGCTCAGCCCATTTTCTTAACATCATTTTCTTCCTATGATTGTAGAGCCAAAATGGGAACAGACTTGTAATTTTTTTCTTCTTATTTCCGAGTCAGAGTCTCATTCTATTGCCTAGCCAAAAGTACAGTGGCATGCTCATGGCTACCGCAGCCTCAACCTGGTGGGCTCAGACGATCCTTCTGCCTCAGCATTTCAAGTAGTTGGAAATAATAGGTGCACACCACCACACCTAGCTAATTTTTTTATTTATTGTAGTGACGAGATCTCAAGTTGTCCAGGCTGGTCCTAGACCCCTTGGGCTCAGGCAGTCCTCTTGTTTTAGCCTTCCAAAGTGCTGGGGTTATAGGCATGAGCCACTGTGCCCGAGAGACTTTTTTCTTTTCTTTTTTTTTTGAGACGAGGTCTCACCATGTTACCCAAGCTGGTGTCCAACTCCTGGGCTCAAGGGATCCGCCCACCTTGGCCTCCCAAAGTGCTGGGATTACAGATGTGAGCCACGGTACCTTACCTAGACTCGTAATTTTTTGGGGGGGGTGGGGGTTGGAGTCTCTGTCACTCAGGCTGGAGTGCAGTGGCACGCTCACGGCCACTGCAACCTCGAACTGCTGGGCTTAGGCGATCCTTTTGCCTCGGCCTTCCAAGTAGCTGGAACTACAAGCATGCACCACCACAGCTTGCTAATTTTTTGATTTATTGTAGAGATGAGGTCTCGCCAAGTTGCCCAGGCTGGTCTCGAACCCATGGACTCAGTCCTCTCACCTCAGCCTCCCAAAGTGCAGGGATTATAGCCACCGCACCTGGCAATTTGTAATTTTTAAAAAGGGAAATAGGATTTCCACTGAAATCAAATCATTTGAACAGTTGGGCTCTACTCCCTAGCACAAAGCATTTGTTTCAAGTAAACTGATCTGTAGATACTTTTTCCATAAAGCCTCCTAGAGGAGGTTTTCGGGAGACATAAGTGGAGCTGAAGAGGAGGCTTAGAGGAGGTTTTCGGGAGACATAAGTTAAGTGGAGCTGAAGAGGAGGCTTGTTGAAGGTCTGGGTCATGAACATGCCTTCTCTGTGGAGGTCTGGGTGTGTCCTCATGGTAGTTGGCAGTTGTACAGCCATCAGTGGCTAGTTAAGGGAGTTTGGGTGGAGGCGTTCCAGTTCTGTTCTGCACCATCAGATGCACTGAAATGAGACTTCCGCCACATGGGCTGATATTCAGCTTTAGCCTTAACTTTTGGAACCAACTTCATTGTCATTTATGGCATTCCCGAACTTGTAAAAACTGTATCATCCTCCCCCAGGGAAGACACTAAAATGGATATGCTTGCAGTGAAAATTGAGATGAAGATAGATATGCACAGTTTTATCTTCAAAAGACATCACATTTCTAGAGTTAAGATTTAAGGATCAATTTTTCTTAAGTGATTGTTGAAGCCACAAATGCAAAAATGTTAGAAATATAAATAAGCACAACAAAACTTAAGTCTGCTTCAGAAAATATCCAAAGAACATTTCAGGTAGTGCAAAAACATGGTTGTTGGATGGCTTCCATGAAACTGCACCATCATAGACCCAGGAATAGAAGTGCAGATAGGTTATTATTTTAGTTACTATTACAAAAGGACAGCTTGCTAATACAGTGACAGCATCATTATATGAGGTGTTCTATAATGGCAGAACTGGTTTAAAAAAAAAAAAAAGGTTGGAGTCTCTTGTGCAGGCTAGATGCAGTGGCATGATCAGGACAATCATAGCTCATGGCAGCCTTGACCTCCTTGGCTTAAATGATCCTTCCACTTAAGCATCCTAAGTAGCTGGGACTACAGGCACATGCCTCCATGCCTAGCTAATTTTTTTGTTTTTTTTTCTATGTTGCCCCTGCCCATAACTTGATGGAAATACAGATACCACCACCAGGCCAGCATTCAGCTTAGTACAGGAGTCTTGGCTTTCTGCAGTAGTAAACAGTTGTCCGGGAAAGGCATCCTAGATGTGTTTTCGTGTGGGATTACGGAAGTCTGGCAGAGAAGAGCTTAATATCCGAAGACAATTTGCTCTGTGGAACTGCACATGACCTTGGTTTGACTATGTCCAGCATTGAGGTTTTCTTGAAAAGTTAACTGCTTAGTCCTAGCCAATAATAAGTTATGCATCTCATATGGATGACTTTTAACTGACTTTGGCCTTAAAAGTTTCCTGCTGAATGTTGAAGGCAAATGAAATCTGAAATAAAACTATCCTGCTGGTAAAAGCATCACTGGCCCTGCTCCATGGGGGCAAACAGAGCGGTGTCTTTCGGAGATTTTTTCTCTTTTTGCTTAGTTAGGCCAGCAAGGTGGCAGAAGTGAAGCAAGGCAGAGCTACTAAATTTAAAATATGTGCTGACAACTTAGCTTCCATAGTTTTGTTTAAATAGTCTATGTTAAAACATTCAACAGCAGGACGGGTCTGCACCGTGACCTTGTTGGTTTGTATGGTGGTTTGTGGTAACACCAAAGTCAGTTTACCCCATGTGGATTTTTAAGTTCTAGTTAACTCTGACCAACCAAGCCTGCCCCGTTTGCTGTTTGTACTGCCTAGGGTCGAGCTGGGCAGCTTTGAGGCCTGGCTCTGGGACACTAGCCCATTGCTTCAATTACTGCGTCAGCCCTTAGCTGAGGATTGGAAGGTTCAAGTCAGCTAGCTGTATTAGCCTAACTACATTTGACAAAGGCAGAATGCCAGCTTCTAGGTATTTTTTCCACCTCTTCCTAAGTGACTAGGTTCTTTCCTTGGTTGAAGGAGCAACTGGATTAAGTAAAAAATAGTGTGCCAGCCAGGCGCGGTGGCTCACACCTGTCATCCCAGCACTCTGGAAGGCTGAGTGAGATAAGAGAATTGCCTGAGCCCGTGGGTTCGAGACCAGCCTGGGCATCATGGTGAGACCTCATCTCTACAATAAATCAAAAAATTAGCTGGGTGTGGTAGCACAAACCTGTATGTAGTTCCGGCTACTTGGAAGGCTGAGGTGGAAGGATCACCTGAGCCCAGCAGGTCGAGGCTACGGGGGGGTCATGCGCTCCAGCCTGGGTGACAAAGTGAGACTCCAACTCATAAATAATGTGCCACCTATCTCCATTCTGTAGCTTATGCTAGACTGGAAAAGAACCAGCTTTAAGACTTGTTGGTATCTTTGTGTACTCAAGAAGGAAGATAAGGTCTTCTATCCAGCTGATTTTGAAACCACACTCCTTTATGCAAGGTCCCATGCCCTCACACTCCTCCAGAGACAAACTTGTACACTAGATTGCTTCTCAACTAATTCAGGCAGACATGAACTTTCAAAGATCTGGACAGAACAGGACTAGACCTCAACAATAGTGTTAAGGTTCGTAGGTCTTATTGGAGCCCCCAAATGCTCGTTCTCCACTACAAAGATCAGAAGGATGATTGAGTTCTGTGTGAGAAGAAAGTAAAGGTGAAAAGAAAGGTTACATTCTTGGTACACTAACAAAATGACAAGTTGAATGTTTATGTGTCCTCTTCACTTAACCACTCACGCTAAAAGCACATGAGTTTTGCTACAGAATTTCTACACTTGGCTGGGAAAATGACTTCTGGAGAAGCCGACACCAGTCTAGTACCTGGTGTATGTGTACAGGATCAATATGGCTTCTTGCCATCCACCTGTTTACCATGGAGTGCCCTAGACTATTTAGGCTTCTGAAGTGGTTGCTCTCGGTCAGTGGCTACAGGATGAGAGACGGAGATGCTATCTTTTCTACAAGGCACGTATTGTCCAGCTATTTGCCAAACCAGCCTGAAGAGGAGCAGCAGGGTCTGCTCTAGCTCAGGGTGGTAAAAGCAGGAATGACCCCACCTGAGGAAGGCAGGGCTCTGTGGAAAGTACATCCTCACTCATCAGGCTGTTAGCTACTGCTCAGCCTTCTGCCAGGAGGGCGGGAGTCAGCCATGGAGGCCAGGCCTTGACAGACACCAGAGCACCTCTTGAGATCACTCTTTTCCCTCCGTAGCTCTGTATTCTGTCTTTATTGTTATTGAAGTAGCCCCAGCTTCATTGATGAGATCGATTCAGGACAGAGGTTGGAAACAATGGGTCTGTTGCCACCTCAACATGAGGAAGGTGTATGGAAACAACCGTGTGAATGAAGCCTAGAACTGCTTTAGTCAAGACAAAGCAACTCTCCCACCCCACCCTAGCAGGTCACCCTGCAGAGATGTCTGATCAGCCTCTGGCCTGCTCACCTCCACGCCTTACTCCAGGACCTCCTCACTTCCTGCCTTAGTGATAGCTGCCCTCCCTCCACAGGCCCTGTGTCCTCACGTCTTCCTGCCAGAGAGAGCCTGGAGGCTGGAACACCCACTCTACCTGCCAGCAGAAAAAGAGGTCAGCCCCACAGCAGAGCTGACCAACTTGGCCTCAAGCCCCAGCTAATCAGAGTGATCCTAGACAAAACTACATTACATCTCTGTTTAAGGTGGAGGGGGGCAGTGTTAACAAAAATATACTTACTCAGATCAGGGAAAACACTTGCAAAGGGGTAAAGAATTGTTCACTGCTAAATAAGTTAAAATTGTAAAACAAGATGATGAACATTATAATCCACTTGTCTACTAAACAAAAACAGGCTGGAAACAGTGGCTCATGCCTGTAATCCCAGCATTTTGGGAGGCCAAGGCAGGAGGATTGCTTGAGTTCAAGACCAGCCTGGGCAACATAGTGAGACCCTGTCTACAAAAATAAAAATAATTTTTTTTTGAAGCAGGCTTACAGCTCTTTACAGGTTGGGTATTAGAGCAGTTTTAAGACAGGGTCTTGTTCTACTGCTCAGGCTGGAGGGCGGTGGCAGTCATAGCTCACTGCAGCCCCAAACTCCTGGGCTCAAGCCATCCTCCCACCTCAGTTTCCCAAAGCATTAGGATTATAGGCATGAGTCACCACGCTCGGCCAGCAGTTTTTGAACCCTGGACCTGGCTTCCTGCTTCTCATCTCGTTTACATTGTAGTGCTTGTGAAGTGTTAGCTGGTCTCCTTGATTGCTCAAGCTCTCAATGACATGACTACACTACAGTGCACTGCACGCCTTTGGCAGGTGGGACCAATAGAGGAATAACACCACAGTTGAGCTTCAAACTGCAGTAACTGTAGCAAGTGGACAGGTAAGGAGCTGGGCTGGGTGACATTGCTACAGATCGTGGCTCTATACGGAGACCAACAGTTCCGAGTCTGTCCTCAGAGGATTCCGCGGGCAGCCCTCTAAGGAAGTATATGGCAGATAACACCTGCCCAGAAGGCTCCATACGGTACTTAAGATGTTTTTTCTCTTTACAGTCCCACTGTCACCCTCCCAGCTCTCCACCCACCTTCCCATGTGAGCTCTGCTTTAGCCACACGATGGCCAGTCCTCCCCCCTTGGGCCTGTTTCCTTTACTCTCAATTTAAATTCAAAGTGGGGAAAAATTGCACTTGAGAATGAATCATCCATTTTATTTTATTTTATTTTGTCATGTGCTCAACAGCATCTCTTTCTTTCTCTCTCTCTCTCTCTCTCTCTCCTCTCCCTGGCAGGTCACAGAGATAAATTAAAAATAAAGTCTACAAGGAAAATAATTTATAAAAGCACTCCCGGGCTCAGCACCTGCTATCCCTACTGCCCAGTTAGGAACTCCCTAACTGGGAATCGGGATCGGTGCTTCCCCCTCAACTCACTCCTGCTAGTCTGGGGCAGACAGAACTCCAGAGCTGGGCAGGGGTGGGGGCAGCAGTGGCAAACAGTTAAAATAAAGACATTGTGGTCCTGGAACCATCTGGCCACCTTGATGCTCCCATGTCTGCCTCTCCCAAGCAGTCCTCCAGGAGCCTTTGCTAAGCTGGGGCTGTGGAGAAACTGCTGGTGGCTGAGAGCTTGGGGGGAGGTGCTCTCAGCCCCCATTACATGCACTTCTCAATCTCTTAGGAAAAAAAACCAAAAAAGAAAGCAGACGAAGACCTCAGGACAGAGGAGAAAATTCCCAAGTGTTCACACAGTTACACGGAGTCTTATGGCAAAGAGAACATTTAGCAGCTTTGAGTATTGGGGCATCTCCTTTTTACTCAACACAAGCATTCTAGACCCTATAAGTGAAACAGGGCACAAGCCCTAAAAAAATCAAAGCGCAAGAAATTCTAAGAGGACTAGTTTTTGTGTTTTCCCCGTGACAAGCCCAGTGGTTGGCAGGCAGAGGCCTGAGGAAGGGTCACTTCCTAGTGTTGTGCTGAGTACTGCCTGGAAGCTGCGGCACTGGCTTCTCCGCCATCCCCCAGCCGCCCCCCTACCCCCCATTACAGCCCCCAGGAGAGGAAGCCCACGGGCCCAGTCTAGGGGCACTGCCAGCACCCCACCCCAGCTACAAGAGCTACAGGCAGCTGGTGAGGGGACACAAACAAGCGACAGGAAGAGGACAGCATTCACATGCAGGCTCTGATGGAGACAGTGGGAGCCTCAGCTTGGGGTGGCCGGAGCACAGAGGGACGTGGAGTGGCAAGGCAGTGTGTGACATGCGTGGTGTCAAGGCTGCTGCAACATGAGGCCTTGTGACCCTTTCCTGCTCACTCTGCCCTCTGACCCAACACCTCCAAGCCAGTGTTGGGCCTTGGTGGCTCCATTCGGGTGAAACACTACAGGTGCGGACATCCAAGCTCCCCCTCCATGGGGACACCAAAGTGCAGGGAGCAGAAAGAGTTAACAACATCCCTCCCCGACCCCCACCCTGTGTCCAAGTACACCCCTGGGGTGAAATGGGGTTTATCACACCAGTACCTAGGCCCACCAGAGTCGCTCAAACTTGCTGCCTGGAATCCTGGCCAAAGCCAACCTTAACCTTCCCTGATTTCCTTCCCGCTTTGATTTTTTTTGGGTTTCCTTGTTTTCTTCCTCCTTGCTTCCTTCCTGGAATGAGACTTTCTACCACTTTCCTCTCCTCACAGGTCTCTTTCTCCTCCTCCTCCTCCTCCTCCTCCCTGCGTGGCTCCTCTACCTCCAGCCACGCCAGCACCACCCTTGCCTCACAGGAAAGGGTAGGGTGAGGACCCTGTCCACCCAATGGTCTGGCCACTTCCACCCCACCCCAGGGGGGAGCTGAGCCAGACAGCGCCTGCGCCCGCCTCTTCCTGTACACTGACCCGCAGTCATCCCATCTGAGAAGATATATGGATAAGAAGGCATTGGAGTCCCCACTGTAGGTCCAGGTCCAGGCCCAGCCCTTCTCCAGTTTCCGTCTTGGTGAGCGTCAAACCCCCCTTCCTCCCGGGCTCACTTTCTCCGGTCCTTTGGCTTCCGCTCCTGCCGCCGGGCCTGCTGGTCAGCCATCGTGCGAGGGATCAGCAAGACGCTGCCGTCCCCGGCGTACTGCAGCGCGTACTGGCTGGGCGAGTAGGGACGCCCGTTCTCATCCCGCAGCCGCCCAAACACCTCCTGGTACAGGCTCTGGACCTTCTGCTTCATCTGCCGCAGCGAGCGCAGGAACTCCACCTTCTCCCGGAGCAGGCGAGCCTTGTCGCGCTGCAGGTCCTCCACGTCGCGCTCCAGATTGAGGATGGTGTCCAGCTTGCGCTTGCGGCAGTTCTGCGCCGCCATCTTGTTCTTGCCCCGGCGCCGGATGTCCCGGATGAGGCTCAGCTGGGCCTCGCTCAGCTGGTACTTGGACAGCAGCTCGTTGAACTCCTCCACGGGCAGGTTGATGATTTTGTCATTGGTGAAAGGGATCTTCATGGCACGGGCTCGGTGCTCATCCCGGCTCATCTGCTTGTCCAGAAAGTCGGCCTGCTTCTCCTTGCTGCCTTTCTTGAGGGCGCTGGGTGGCGGCAGGTCAGCGGTGTCCAGGGCACTGGGCGCCATGTTGTATGTGTGGTTGTGGCCCACGTGCTCCAAGTAGGGCAGGCAGGAGAGCTGGGACGGATCCTGGTAGCTCATGCGGCAGAACTTGGAATACTCAGGCTGGTAGCCCACAGCACCCTCGGCCTCTTCCAGATCCAGAGTCTCAGAGTCAGAGCTATAGCCAACAGCCCCTTCCTCGGAAAAGGAGGAAGAGGCAGAAGAAGAAGCGGAGGAAGAGGAGGAGGAAGAGGAGGAGGAAGAAGAAGAGCTGCCCTCAGAGCTGCTCAGGGAGGAAGGGCTATGGCTCGAGTCCAAGGAGAGGCCTGAGTCAGAGTCAAACTCCTCCTCGAGCTGGGAGGCCTGCACAGGGTTGAAGCCTTCTTCGATGGCCAGGTCCATGAGGCTGATCTCATCCAGCATGGCTTCATCTAGCAGGCCCCCCAGTGGGTCAGGCAGCTCGGGGCCTGCTGTGTCATTGGCTGTGCCATTGAGCTGGGGTGGAAAGAAGAGCCCTGACAGGTTGGTGGAGCCGAAGGAGGAATTGAGGCTGGTGGAATTGCTGGGAACCAGAGGGAGCAGCGTGGAGCTGCTGGCCACAGGCAGGCTTTCCACCTCGGGGCTGAACAGTGAGAAGTCCTGGCTGCAGCCCCCCAGGGACGCCTGATGCAGGCTGACATTCTGATTGATGGGAGTGTTGGGGGCAAGGCTGTAGTTGGTGCTCAGCGGGTCTCCAGAAGGGGCACTGTACAGGACTTCGCCTGCTGACGTGTTCACCTCCATGGCCTGGGAGGGAGAAGAGCAGCGCTGTTCACTAGGAGCAGACCCTCCCCTGGGGCTCACAGCGGCAGGCCCCCAACAGAGGCATGGCTGCGTGGGCGTCAAGGCAAGTGACTAGAAACCACAGCCCAGTGTCACCCCTGGCCCTGCTTGGTCCACCTGACCTGGCAGAGATGGGTTCCTCTGTGTGGGCTCTACCCTGATGCAGGACTGACCAGCTCCTGGTCATGTCTGGCCAGACTCCCCCATCTTGGAGGAAGAGGAAAAAACACGGACACTGCCTCTTTACTGCACAATCAGCACAGTGAAGACAACCAGCCCGAAGTCAGAAGACATAGCTATACTACTTGCTGTGTGGCCGCAGGCACATCACTTAATCTCTCTGAGCTTCAATGTCCTCAACTCTGAAATAATGCAGGACTGACTAGATAACTGTGAGGGCCAAGTGAGATGGCTGTAAAACACTACATGGATGTCAGTGATTATTAATGTAGAATCTTGGCAGCCCCCAGCCATGCGACTGTCTGCCTGAAGGAAGGGAAGAAGGCACACCTAGAAGGCAGGCTCCGCTCTGGAAGGCTGTCCTGCCTTTTATTTAACCAAGTCTCCCTGCTGACACCACCCACCACTGCCCCCGGGAGACACCTGTACAATGTCCCCCACTTTCCTATGGATCAAAGTGTTACTCTTTCTCTCCCCAGAAATGGAAAAGCAACTGCGTGCTTAGACACCTGACACAAAATCCAGTAGCTGTGTGCCCTGTTCTGACAGTCCTACCTGCATTTCCATGATGGACATGAGATCTTGCCACTGCTGTTCCAAATCAAATGGCGACTCTGTCCCCGTCAGGAGAGGAGACAAGAGGTTGTTCTGAAGAGCTGGGGAGTCACTCTCACTAGGCACTGCTTCTGTTACGCTGGAAATGTCTGCTGAAAACTAAGGAAAACACAGAGGCTTCAACAGGAGAGAAGGAAAAACCACCTGTGCTCTCCCCCCAGAGACCACCACATGGAGTCTGCTTCTTTTTTCCTTCCTTCCTCTGCATTCACCCCCGGCAGCCAAGACAAGGCCAGAACCAAAAGCTGGCCCCTCAGCCATGAAGGGACACGCCAGGTGTGGGCTGCCCTGCTTGCCTGGTGGGCTCTCCCTGGAGTCCTGCTCACCTCAGCATTCTCCCCAAAGGGGCAGGTGGCCTCCAGCAGCCTAAGGCACTCTTCCAGGGACAGGGCCGTCTGGTCCTCCCCACCAGGCACCTGTGGCAACAGCAACTGTAAGTCTGACTGACGTGAGCCTTGGCTGCTTGGGGCTGAAGCCTCTTCCCCAGCACGACTGCAGGCCTGCAGTCTCCCTCCCATTCCTGCACTAATGACTGGCTGTGAGTCCCAAATGCCCAGGGACGACAGGAGGGAGAGTGGAAGAGTCCTGAAGCAAGCAGGAAGATGCCAGATGCTCGGCCTCCTCTGCATTGTCTGTTGCCAAGGCCCAGCCCTTCTGCGTCTGCTGTCCATTCCTCCTTCTGCAGCCTAGCCACTGTGACTTACAGACACAAACCCAAAACAAACATTCAGGTCCCCACAGACACAACCTGCCTCCTCAAAGGGAGGTTTCTGGAAGAACTTCAGCCTGGTTTGTGAGTTTTGGGGGAGTAGGGAGAAGAGAGCTTAGTGGGTAGAGGTGGTGCTACCTGTGCAGGGAAGCTTTCCCCGGTCTCTCCATCCACTAGAAGGTTCCGCGCCAGAGCTTCGGCGCCCTCGCCTGCCCAGGTGTCCTGCTCGCCTCCATCTCGCAGTTCCTTATCCACATCCTGCTCCTTCTGGCGATGACTATAGTCAAAAACCTCACGCCCAGCCCCCAGATCAATATCCTGTCGCCAAAGGATGTCAATCAGATCTATGTCCTGAAAGACAGATCACCATGACTTTAGCTCTCAGGTCCCAAGGCCCATCCCTGTTCTGCCCCTCAGAAGTCCCTCCTAGTGTCACTCCCATTAGTCCTGGGTGGGACCCGTCCCAGCCCTACACCTGCCAGCCCTTATCCCGTGGCTCCTCTGCACCAGCAAGGCTTCATTCAACCATTTGCAGACACCACCCCCACCCCCCAAAAGCCACAGCAAAAACCATCAGCATGACCATCACCATAAAGGTCTGAAGGCTCAGAGACACACCAGGTCAAAAAGCAGGGCCGCCCCACCCCTATATAAGAAAGAAGGGCAAGTCAGGAGACACCTCTTGTCTTGGGAACGGGAGCCCCATAAAACTTGGTTTGGAAGGAGATGGCCATGACAAGCAAGAGTGAACTGTCACGCAGGATTGCTTAGCAGTGGCCAGGCTTGCATCAGCCTGTGGTGCCATTTTATTTGCATAAAGGGGTGGGGTGGGCTAGAGAGGAAGATCCCTGCATTTCCAACCACCTGATGCAGCCAATGACAACGCCATGCTGTCTCCAGCCCTTCCTATGGCCATTCCCCTTTCCCACTGGCAGCAGGAGTACACCCACAGGCTCACCTCAGGACCCATCCCTGCCAGGATTCCCTCTCTCGGTGGATCCCAGCAAGCTGCCTCTCTCCCAGGGGAGCCTCAGGCAGTCAGATGATCCCCACTGGGCACCCCACCCCTGCCCAGGCCAGCTTCACCATGTCTCCTCTCACCAATGGCTCACTCCCTTCCTTACCACACCCCAGGACTCACTGACTCCCCATCAGTCAACCCACTCAAGGACATAACCCCCATCATCACTCAGCTACGATTGCCACCTTGGGCACCAAACTGCCTCCCTCTTGTTCTACCTTGGTGGCTGTTGAACAGTTCCTGCACCACCTGCCACCCCCATTGCCAACAGCATAGAACCCCAATAAATAGAGCCATATGGGCTTCCTATACATGTCGCCCCCATGTGGCCCTCCCCACAAGCCTGAAGAAACCTTAAAAGTGTTCCCTTCCATTCAGGGGTTAAAAAGTAAGACACACACTTTCCAGAAAGCAGCACCCTTAGACCCACCTCCCTTGCCCTAGGCGGGTATCCCCCTCCCATCACGGCCCTCCCCATCCTAGGACCTCCCAGATGTACCACTCCCCTTAGTCCCCACATACACCAACCTGAACAGGAGCCCTGGACCCAGGAGCAGAGGGGGGCTGGGCCACCCGGTGACCAGCCAGCAAAGAGTTAAGGGGCCGGCTGCCTTTGGCATGGCCCCCACCACTGTGAGAGCTGCGGTCCAGGCGGGTCATGGTCTGCGAGATGAGCCCCAGGGCAGCCGGTGCCGGGAAGCCGGACAGGGGGCTGCAAGGAGCTCTTGACTTGCAGGGAGCACACCAGGCTGGAAGGGTGGCCCCTTGCTAGCTCCAAGGGGCCCGAGGAGGGTGCCCCGCCCGTGCTGCTGCCTGGGCGGCCCAGCCCAGCTCCCTTCCTCCATCCTTGAGCAGCCCCCTCCCACCTCACAACCCCAGTTCCACTCAGGCGCCCGGCAGCCCCCACCCTGAGCTCACCGCAGAGGCTGCAGTGAGACGGGACTCCCACCCCATGCTCCGTGCTCAAGCTGCAGAGGAAAGCAAGCGCCCTCCTGGGCCTATCCTCCCGCTCCTCCCTCTCTCCCCCTCCCCACGCCCCCCAAACTTGTTACCTAGGCTGCAGCAAGGAGCCAATCCCCTCCCCCTCCCACCCCGCAGGTCACTGCTGAGGCTGCAGAGAGCCAATCCCCTCCCCCAGGTCAGCAGCTGGGCTGCGGAAAGAGCCAATCCCCTCCCACTGTCGTTACCTAGGCTGCGCCGAGAGCCAATCTCCTCCCCCAAGTCTCCGCTGGAGATGCGGAAGGAGCCAATCCCCTCCCACCGCCTGTTACCTAGCTGCAGACGGGAGCCAATCTCTGCACCAGGGCAGCTGGAGGAGCTGCCGCAAGGAACCAGCCCATCCCTGGGCCGCCTCCGTCTCCTTGAGGAGATGCACCCAGGGGCGGGCAGCCCCACCCAGCCCAGTCAGTCAGCTGGGGTGGCGCAGTGAGAGCCCTGGGGGAAGGGGTGCCACTCTCCTCCCTCCTGTCACATCCTGCTCACCCAGCCCACTCAGGACTGGGCAGACACTCCTCCCGCAGCTTCTCCGGGAATCTAAATTCTTTGCTGGAAGTAGAAGGAGTCTTCCCGTTCCTGAGGAAGGTTGTGACCAGTTCTCAAGGCCAGGGATCACAAGCCAGGCTGGGTAGGAACCCAGGGCACCTAGGCCCACCATGAGCCAGGAGTTCTGTCACCCTAAGATGGGCCAGGCTAGAAGAAAGGGTTTCCTCCAGCCCATGTGCAGCGATGTCATTGCTGGCCAGGCCTAGCCCCAAGTACAAGGAGGGGAGACATAGCCCTGAAGTCCAGCACTTTGGGAGACAGGTGCTGCACAAAGTCCTAGCCACATACAGGTCTTCCACACCTCCTTTCACCCCAGTTTGGCTCAAGAGCATTCTCTGCCTGACCCCTGGCCCACCTCTCTCCCAGCAGGAAAGCCCCTGACAGAATCAGTGTCACAATTCAGCTCCGTGGATGGGTTTTTCAAGGGGAAATGCAGCTCCCTCCTCACTGCCGCTGCCTGGAGCCTAAGGTCAGCTCAGAGACGGTATGTTCTCCCTGGCCACAGCCTGCTCCCAGCCTGGAAAAAGCTGTAAACAGGCCACCCCCCTGCTCTGGGCAGAGTGCCAATCTCGAGGGGAATCCTATCCCTGACAAGGGCCTAGGCTATGGCTGTCCATCGAATAGGCCTGGCAGCGCCGGGGAGCACTGCCACCCCAGGGATAATACCGGCTCCAGCAGTGCCTGTCACATGCTCTGGACCCGGGTATTTTTATCCCTGAGTTGCTGAGGAAATGTTGTTCTAGACACATAATAATCCTCCCTTCCCCCATACCCAGCCTGGGCCCCTAGTGCTGACCCAGCCCACCTCCCAAAGAGAGTAGTGAAGCCTGGGCTCAGGGGAGCACAACCTCAAAGGGTCAAGATACCGATGAAAGCAGGGTCAAAGTCCCATCCCATTCCACCTCAACTCACCCAACTATGTCCCAAACATCCCATCCCACCCCAGAAGAGCTCCCAGCAGGAACAGGAATGGAGCTACCCCTGCAGGGCTTCTAGGAGCAAATCCAGTTGCACACCTCCCTGAGGGAGCTATCCTGGGGTGGGAGCATGGAAGCAGAGGCTGGGGGGCATGATTCTTCTGAACACTGTGCCAAGACAGACCCCACCTGAAGGAAAGAGGAGACAGAAGAGAGGTAGAGTTCCATGTGGCCGCATAAGAAGCTAAGAGGCCCCGAAAGGTAAGAAATGTTCCTGGCTCCCAAGCTCAGATAATCCCAGTCCTTCTCAGAGCAGATCCAGTGTAAGCCAAACCCAGACCACAGCTTCTCAGCACCTGCACTACTGATACTTGGTGTCACACAAATCTGTTGTTTTGGGGCTGTCCTGTGCCATTCAGGATGTTAAGTGGCACCCTTGGCCTCTACCCCCTGGATGCCAGGAGCACCATCCCTCCAAGTTGTGACAACCAAAATTGTTTCAAGAAATTGCTACCTGCCCCCTGGGGGGCAAAATCACCCCCAGTTGAGGATAACTGCCTACAACAAGCCATATTCTTTGATAGCCCCTAAGATTCAGAGAACTGAGCTCAGGACCAGGCATCAACGCAGGGAGGGAGGCAAAAATGTGGCCTGACCTGGTGGACAGAAGCAGCCAAGTTCTGTAGCATCTGTAAAACCTTTTACATCCTTCCATATCCCACCTGGGAAAGCCCAGCCCAGCTCAGTGCAGTCTGGGACTTCCCTAATGGTTGGAGGAGTACAGTGGGCCTTTCCCCAGCTCCTTAAGGCTGGGTGGCAAGCCAGAGCCAGCCAATCAGAGCTCAAAGCAGTCCTATCGTGCTGGTGGGGTAGAAGCAGCAGCAGCCATTCACATCATCAAAGGCAAGAACTGCATCACTTTCTGTCCAGAACAGTAGGTCAGCCACATGACAGGAGGTAAAGATCTCTCTTGACAGCTCAGAGCAAGTTGACTTGGACAGCAGAAGGTTGTCTCTCTTCTGGCTCCCAGACCTGTATTCCCTACTCCCTGCAGTGGGCCTTTAGCAAATAATGGAAGCCCCGGCCCCCTCCTGGTCAAGAATAACTATCCAAATCTGCACCTTGGTTCCAGCCCAGGAGGGCTAAATTATCAAGACCTTACCACAACAACAGGCCTGACCACAAAGGAGGAGAACATCAGGGCATGTATGTGTTTTGATGTGAGGGGAGGTACAAGGCAAGAGTCCACAAGTATTTGTGTCTTAGCAACAGATACACACTGCATCAAAGCCCATCACAACATGACCCCCTCCCCCAAACCCAGGCCTCCGGTAGTAATGTTGAAATTCAAGCAGTAAACACCCTGGCATGTGCTAGGAACCTCCCATGCCCCAGCAGTACATTTAGAGATGGGTCAATGGTTCAACACAGGGAAATGCTCCCAGCCCCCAATCTTGAAGTCAGACAATTCAGCCCATTCCTATTCAAGTATACTCCCCACCCCAAGAACCTATCTGGCTCTTCATAGGGCTTACTACAGAGACCAGAGTCCTTTAGGACCAGCCCACTCCCACCCATCCCAGACCCCACCCACTCACCACAGGGCCACTAACCTCTTTGGTTAAGTCTCCACTGACTGGAGGGGCTACAGCCCCCAAATCCTCCAAATCTTCACTGAATCCCTGCTCCGTTTCGCTTTCTCTCACCCCGTTGTCTGGGCCTGTCACGTCTTGGAGGCCACTGGAACTCTCGAGGGCGAGGCCTGAGCTGGGCTGGCTGCCAGAGACAGACCCCTCCGGGTCCCGGTGAACCAGCCAGGCATTTACCTCAGTGGTTGGCACCTGGAACCTGTCCAGGGCCCTCACCTGACTGAGGAGCCGCCGGGCAGTGAAGTAATTGTCCAGGTCTATGCTCTTGGGGTGGATACCATAGCCATCCAAGGTGTTCCTCAGGTTGTGGAACTGGGTCTGAGTATAGGCAGAACTGGGCCCCAGGATGATCTCCCGGAGCGGGGGGAGCTGTGAGGTCAGGTAAGTATCCACGTCCACCCGCACCCCAATCAAACTCAGCAGAATGGTGAACTGGAGAAGTCCTTCCGTTAAGTATTTCTTCAGAGAAAGCATTGCTGAAGGACCAGAACGTTTATGCTTTTTGGTTTTTAAATCTTCCAAAAGACAAATCAAGGCCACTGCTCTGCCGCTCCAGCCAGCAGGTTACCCTCCTCAGTGCCAAACCCTGTACCCCACCCTGGCAGAACACAGGGGCTGAGCTCCCTGATGGCCCCAGAGGAAAGCACACCCCGTGGAGCCAAGGCCACACTCCAGACCACATTCACTTTTCCCTTCTCCACACCTCACCTCTGAAAGTACAACTGTTCCTAACCCAGTCCAGGCCCTCAGGGCCCACGTGACTTACTGTCTCCACAGTCCACACACAGTCACTTCCTCACTCACATTAGTTGTTCTTTGTAGATTCCACTGCAGGCTGTTCTCAGGAACAGCGGATGGTTTTTGTTTTTTTTTTTCCTTCTCCCTCCTAAGGTTTATTTTCTTTGGCTGAAGCTACAGGCCTTTGTCTTGGGTCAGAGCGTCCCGCCTCCTCCACACTTACCAGGGGGGTTTCCAGAGAAACCTGAAATGGGAATCACAAGAGCAACAGGATAAGAATCCATACTTTTCATACCATGTTCAGGGCAGGAAAATCTTCACGGCAGAAGGTAGAAAACACATTAAAAGGCCTCTTCTATAGGCAGAAGAACACCATTTATATTCTCAGAAACATAAATATAACCACCTGCTCTAGACAGAACAGCTATAAAAGAAAGGTATTAATCACAAAGGATCTCAGTTCTGCACATTAAATCTGCAATATCCTACAAGAAAGCTTGCTTTGGATAAGCAGACAATGCTCAGGGCATCCAAAATATCTTATACTTTGTCTGATCTACCAGTTCTCCTCCCCCCCAAAACAGGGGCATTACCCAGCTTCTATTTTTAGCATGAGAAGCTCATTTCCTATCTTAAAGGAAAGTTGGTTTCCCATCTCTCAGAAGAAAACTACAATCATTGCCCCTTCCAGTTGGAAAGGGGGAGGAGAGATTACTAATGGGTAAGCGTGTGAAAGGACACGAAGACAATGTTCAGGTCACTACTTCACCCAAAAGAATAATGCGTTTTGTTTTCCTAACTTTGAAATCTGACTTCCCTTTCCTATCATCCTCAGATTTAAATTTTTTAAAAAAGAGAGAGAGAAGGAGAGGTATGTATGGGAAGGGAGGCTTTGCAGGATGATCCCGTCCAGAATTTGCATGGACAGTTTTATTTTCATTCATATGACCTTCTGAGCCACAGTAGACGGATATGGCCACGTTCTCAACCCAGACTGCCAAGTGGGGAAGGGGTAAGTCTGTTTTTCAGTTTCTGATCTCGGCTTCTGAGCATCCATTAATCTCATAAGCCGAGACATGCCACTCTCTTCTCACCGCTCTGACCCGTCTACCAACTTCTAAAGGAGAAGAGGGATCCACACACACTCTCATTTGGTCAGAGTACATAAACACAACCGCGAGACCCAGAATTCCTGCTGACGCTACGCTCCCGTTCTCACGCAACCAATCGCCAATTAAGTTCGAGCAACCGGACAAAGTCCCTTAAGGATCGAGGTAGGGGCCGGCCGCGGCCCGAGTCCGGTCCCACCCTGCCCCGATACCCGAGTCCGGTTGAGACCAAGTCGCCATGCCCACTCTCGGCGCCTCAGCTTCCAGCCTCCCGTGG